CTGCAGTCTGAGCGGCCCAGTTCGTTACAGATGCCCAAGACAGACGGCTGGGTCCAGTGGAGCCGACCTGGAGAGGGTTCACCCTCACAAGGGTGTGCGGAGGCGGAGGACCTCAGGGGCCAAGCGCAACCCCAAGCCTGCACTACGGCCCCAGAGGGTGCGGACACTGTGGGAGGGGAGCCCGCAGCTCCGGAACAGGGCTGACCGGGTGGGGTCCCGGGAAGGAACCCAGACCCTCCTGCCCCTTCTCAGTGCCTGCTGGGTTCCCACTGCCCAGGGGCCGGGGCCCGAGCCAGACGCCGGACCAGCCTGGGGCTCAAGCAGGAGGGGAGGGCGGGCGGCCCTGGAGGGCAGAGAACACCAGGCCTTGTCCGTCCCTCAGGGAAGCGGCTGGCCTGCTCTGGGCGCCCCTGTTTCTTGCACAGAAATCTAAACATGGGGCTAAATCGCCCTCGTGCCCCTGCTTCACCCTGCCCGAGCGCCCAGCCAATTCCTCGTTTAGCTCTCTGACCAGTGACCGTCTCGTCCTCGTTTTCATTCATGAATGTTCCTCTCCTTGTCATATTTGCTAGTTTCACCTTGACCTCATAAATTCAATTTGCTGTTTCAAATTCTGGCAGAAGAACTGCTTTTCAAAATGCTGAAAAGCCATCATTTTAGAGCTGGTGAGATAAAATCCTGGTTCTGCTCATGATTGGTTTCTTAAAGCTTTGGAAGCAAAACACTGGCTTTCCAAGAGCTGCCATGAGTGAGACACCAGGGGCACGTCCTCCTCTACTCGGGGCGATGCAGGAACTCTGCTCTGGACAGCGGGCAACACCACAGCGCAGGCAGCTCGAGAATCCATGTCAGCGCTCGGGGAGCACACGCAAGCGGACAGTCTCCAGCTAGACACTGCGGAGAGCCACGCCGTGAGGAACCAGAACATCAGCACACTTTCCCACAAACTATTTCTCAAACTTCATCTAAAAACGTGGCTACGGGGTGGAGGGTGGAGGTGAGCGGTAGAGTGTGTGCTTAGCATGCAAGAGGTCCTGGGTTCGAGCCCCAGCACCATTAAAAAGTAAATAAATAAATATAAACCTAATTGCCTCCCCCTCCAAAAAATGAAATTAAAAACAAAAAGTTAAAATATGGCTATGAACTCGAATGAGCTTGAGAACTTTTGAAATTCATATTCAGACACACTAAGGTGCGGGTTTGCTGTTTATTCAAACTTTCAGTGCTTTCTGCTGCGGGTAACAGCAGCACTGGTCGCGCACTTAAGCAGCACAGACTCACCCTCAAACCACACGGGCAGTGCTGCCTGCCTCTTAAGCATCCTCGGGGTGTTTCGTTTCCCAGAGAAATAGAGGCCAGCAGCCCATCCCCCACGCGGGGAGCAGGGACGCTGACCCAGCCCCGCCTCCCGGGCTGAGCGGCCCCACCGGGAGGGCACGTGGCTCACCACTGACTGAGGACCCAGACGCCACTCAGGTCCAAGCTCAGGTCAGAGAAGAGACTGGCATCTCTCAGGGCCGCACCCCCAGCCCTACCAGGAGGAAACGGGTGGACATGGCCGGCAGGAGCCCAGCCGGAAGAGAAGGTGCCTTCAGTCCAGGGTCAGGATAGAGCCACCCCCGTCTGCCCCTGTTCCCCTCCGTCTGTCTGTCCGTGCAGGGCCCAGTCTGTCCTCACCACTGCATGGCACCTGGCACCTGCAGTGACTCCGTCTCAGTGGCCCGGTGCCACCTTCGGTCTGTTTCCCCGCTGGCCCTTCACGGGGGTCCTCTTCAGTGTCACCTGCCGTCTCCCAGCAGAGGGCCTCCTGCTCCTCAGGCACTGACCTCAGAGCTGGACTGGAGAAGCAGCTGCAGGCCAAGGGTCCCCAGGGCGCACGGGCGCCTGGCTCCCGCCTGAGTCCCCGCCACAGCTCAATGTGCAGGCTGGGCCTCGTGGGCAATGAGGGGCCAGGCTGCGTGCCTCCCTGTCACTGGAGATGAAATTCCAAGGAGGGCAACCCCTCCCCACGGCCAGCACGCCTACCGCCGGAGGGCTGGCCAGTGCAAGGCTGCGGGCGCCTCGCCCGGGGCAGAGGCAGCAGGAACCCCGGGACTTCGGGGGCAGGGGGCGTACGTGGTGGCCCAGGCCTCACCACGGACCCTGAGGTGCCAGACACCTCCCTGCACTGGTGCCTCCCCCACCTACAAACCTCGGGGCTTCTCCTACAGTGAGGACTCAACCGACAAGTGTCCCGTGTGCTCACCCACCTGCGGAGCGACGTCTGACATCTGCTGGCCGTGCAGCACGTTTGTCAAGTATTTACTGAGCTCTACCCACAAAGCACTTCCCATAGTGACCTTGTCTAACCCTCACAACAGCCAGCAGGACAGATCCCCGCTTCGCAGATGAGGAAGGAGACTCTGCGAAGCCCTGCAATCTGCCTGAGGCCGCACCACCCGAACTGCTGTGGGACTGGAATCCAAGTCTGACCCTGGCCGTGTGGCCACAAGCCCCAGCGGAGGTGGTGCTGTTGGAGCGCCATGCTCGCTGCAGCCCCTCAAGAACCGGGCTCCCGGCCTCTCCTTCGGAAGATGCAGGGAGGACTTTTGTCATGAGTGTTGAGCGACATTCTAGGCGTCTGTCCATCATCACTGGCTCCCTGACGTGCCCACGGCCGCAGCCGCCAACTGGCAGCTTCACCCCGAGACTCTGGACAGCAAATAACCCACCGCGTTTGTCCTGCTCCGGAGCACACACCGGGAACTTGTCTTCTAGAACCAAAGCCTCAAACCCCCTCTTCCTTCTTCGGGTGTTAATGAAGGACACCCCTAAGCACTGCTGCCGCACAGGACTAACGTCTGAGGACGGCAAACCTGGGCCTTTTGGCTCCGCTTGGAGAAATGGGCCCCTCCAACCGTCAGTCCTCTGTGGCAGATTCCGGATCCTCCGTGAACAGGAGAGCCAGACCCCGGTTGGAAATCCAAGCTCGTCGACCCTGAGCTCCTACAGGCACCACCCGGGGCCCCACCGTCCGGGCGGCCTCACCTGCAGGGCCCTCCCCACCAATGCCCCGTGAGGCCGCGCAGTGAGAAGAGACGCCCCAGCCGGAGCACGGGCAATCCTCAGCGGGGCGGCCCACGTGCAGTGCATCCTTCTCATTGTTCATAAAGCCCTCAGAAGGGCGGCACACTACAAACAGCTGGGTCGCGTCTGCATTTTATTTCCCTTCTTATGGTAACTAAAACACCCTGGGATGTGATGGAAAAACAGGACTGAGGGTTACTGCATCATCTCAGAAAAACTCCTGCCAAGACGGCAGAACATTTGACATTATAATATTAGCGCTTTGGGACGTGCATACAAACAGTCTTACATTAAGGGCTGCATTCTCCAAAGCCGCACTTTATTGTGGGAGGCCTCACTGCAAACATGGTGAGTGCCAGGACGTGTGTAATACAAACCGACACCGGGACCTGCTCACAGGCCCGGCCCTCCCCAGCACCCAGCTGGCACTCGGGAGGGGACAACCGTCGCCTGTTGACCCCGTCTGTGACCTCAGGAGTTCACTGGAGCAAAGCGTTGGACGCCCTCCAGGGTAGGTCTTTGTGCCAATCACCTGATCTTTACCTCGAAAGGACAATTTTACTTCCTAGTCCTTTGCGAAAACGCAGTCAGGTGTGGGCTGTCCTGGGCGGGGCTGGACTATCTAAACCCCCGCCCCCTCCAACCTCCATGGGTGGGAGACGAGCTGTCTCCTCCTGGGGGAGGCTGCCCGCCAGGCCCCAGAGCCCAGCCCACTGGACTGCGCACGCCTTCCTGATACAGTGTGCCACGTTCCAAGACCAGGGGCAAGGTGTCTGGGGGCCACAGCCTGCTTCCTTCAGGCAGAAAGTGGGGAGACTGCAGGGCTTGCCGTCAACCTGGCACCTGGAGGGTGGGCTGTGCAGAGATGTGACCTTGGGGCTCTGCCTTCCCCCACAAATCTGCTGAGAACACAAACCCCAGGTGAGCGCCTGTCCAAAGCAAGCAGAGCCCCTGTGAAGTCCACCACGTCACGGTCAGAAAGCCTGTTTCCACCCGAGCCCCTTGGCTGCCCTGTCACCGCTGGAGCCGGGGGCCGCAAAGTCCGGAAGATGCCCTGTTCCACGCAAACCCTCCTTCCAAGCAGGACTTCATGGGCACCCCACACCCTCCCAGGATCGACATGGTCACGTCTCCGGCCAAACGGGTGTCTGCGAGGCCTCGAAACACATGGACAGGACGCCCACCAACACTTTGCATCGGCTACTAAAGAGGGTTTGACGGCCACACAAGACCCCTGAAAGGAACGGGAGCCGCGGTCATGGAGGGAGTGACCAGCGGACTCTCAGCTGCTCCGGAATCTTACCACATCCCCTTTCCCTTTAGGACTCTCAGATTTTACAAGATGTAACTCAGCAGTAACTTCTGGGGGCTGCGGATGGGCGCGGGGCAGATGCCCGCACACACCTGAGCCAGGTGAGTGGGCCCTCCCCACCCCTCCAGCACAGCGGGCCACCCCTCCATGCAGGCCTGCTCTGACCTGAGGCCACCTTGGTGACCTCCTCCCAGGCCTGCCCAGGGCCTGGACCAAACGAAGGTGCTCAACCAGTTCCTTGATCGGCTGTACAAACTGTGTGAACTGGTGAGTTCTTACTTTTGCTTTGGCTTCCAGGAAGCTCAGAGCTCACTTTCACATTAAGACACAACAGTGTCACTTCTGCTCACAAAGCATGTTCACTTTAATCAGAATATGTCTGACCCTGAGCAGCCAGCATCAGAGCCCCACTGACCAACCGCTCGCTGAGTGAGAGGACAGTGAAAAACTGAACCCACAGAGGCCTTTAGGATTCGACGTGCTCTGTGTTACTTGGTCTGCTCCTCCCATTTTACATCTGAGGAAACTAAGGCTCAGAAACGCAGAGTCACACAGGGCGTGTCACCTGCTCTCTCCCGAAGCAACTCCAGGTCCCACCCCAATGTCCCGCTGACTGCAGGAGAGCCAAGCCAGGCCTCACCATCATCCCGGGAGAGCCCTCAACAAGCCAGACAGCAAACGACCAGGGGCTCGGGCCCCCCGTCACGTTGTGGGGGACCGTGAGACGCCAAGGGGGCACAGTGACAAGAAACCAAGACTCTGGAGCCAGGCCTGTCCTCCTGGGGGCGAGAAAGCAGGGAGGAGTCAGGGCGGGAGGCACGGTCAGCATTCGGAGGACAACCCTCCTGCTCGGAGACGGGGCTCCCACGCACAAGCTCGGAGCGCAGCTTCGGACCCTTTAACGAATCGCTGCCAGCAACACATCAGGCCCTCGGAGGCGTCCAGCTGGCCGTCCTCCACTTGACACTCTCTGAAAGCAGGTGCTCGCTGGACAGAGGCAGCCTCTGTCCCCTGAGGCACACGAGAATTATCTCCCAGGTGCTCAGAGGGCCAATCGGAGGAAGGAGACTGACCAGAATGATGCTGCTCGGAAACCCTAGCTGTCCCTCACCTGGGAGCCCCAGGGCCAGCAGCCGGGAGGGCGCAGGCTTGAGAGGGGCCCCTGTGTGTCTTCTCACATGGGGCCGCACTGTCACTCCCCAGGGCGCGTCCACGGTGGGCGGGTACCGGCTGAGCCACCCCGCCAGAGCATGTGCAGGTGGACAGGCAGCGACACAGCCCGGAAGTTCACCTGCTCCTCGCATACCCCAGCTCCCCGCCAAGGTCTCTTCCTCCTCCCTACCCCTAACCCCACATCTCGACCCCTTGGAATTCAGTTCTGGGCGGGGAAAGCTGACTTTCTTCATATTGTGTAGTTCTGCCTCCTTTTATGGAAGACCAAGCCCCTCAGAATGGTCTTCTTTTGGGTCAGAGAGCAGCTCACCTTGGACCCAGAGGGCCTTTGATGCAAGGTCCTCCAGGAACGCCGAGCTCCTGGCTGCACCCAGTGGCCTCTGTCCGCCTTTCAAGCCGCCAGCAGTAGACCCACCCACAGCTCCGCTCCATCCAGTGTTTTGTGGACACTTCGCAAGGACTGCACTTGGCTCCATGCACCAGCGTGCAGCGATAAACAGAAAGACTAGCCAGCCCCCTGGGAAAGCCGTGGTCCCTGAATAAAAGCCACTCTTTCCTCGTGTGAGCACTCAGAAGGCAGAGGCCCACAGCCAGCCCTGTGCCTCCTGCCCCAGGACTGGATCCAGTTCCCCCACAAACAATGCAGGGTGTGGGCTCAGCAAGGCCAACACATCTGTGGACCCCAAGGGAAGGAAGCCCGGGGCACCACGGCAGCACCAACTGGGCCAAACCCCAAACCAGAGGGCCAGTGGCCACCTCCCTGCCCACCT